CTTACTCGCTGCACAAAGTGAACCCAACTGCCTAAATTCTGCACCGCAGCTTTTCTAAATCATGCCTCGATTAATCATCTTGGGCAGATGGTTGACTTTGTACTTGGCCAGTAGAGAATATCACACAGTTTGGCAAAGGCAAGAATAGAAAGACACCCAGAAATGACAATCCATTTATAATTTATTCATTTTTGCTTCAATTCGAAGTGTGTGCACGGAAGATTTATTTTGACATCAATGACTATTTTTTTAGCATTAGGGATAGAAGGTACGTGTGCATAATATTTCTGAGTAGCCATATGAGACAAAGTACACTAGCTTTTTAAGTGACTTTGTTAAGCAAAGACTAAAAGGCAAATTTAAAGGCAAACACGTCTGCAAGGGAGGATAGAAGTTTACATTGGAACGGGAAGGATTTGATAGCCTGGACACAAGTTGAAAATAATTTGCTGAGATAAAAAATTAAAAGAGTTTAGGTTAGCTGTAAAATTTAAGAGACAAACACTTTGGAATTGTTTGTCAAAATAAATTTCTTGAAAGCGAATATTTGGAGTCGCTAACCTAAGCAAAATGTGATTTAATTAATGAATTCTAAACTGATCACATTGTTGTCATTATGTTGACATTAGCCAAAAATAGACCCTCTGTTTTAATGCAGTTAGTGCTTTTTGTGTACACTGACAGCGAATCAAATAAAATAGAAATGCATAAAATTAGCCGATTGAGTTTGGCCTGATTCAAATGCGCGGTATTTAAGGCGACATATGAAGTTCAAAGCAGTAAATCAAGTTCAATGACACAACAAGCAAAAAGATGTAAACCAAAAAATTTACATTCTACTTGTATTTCTTCTTCTTGTGTGCCAAATAATGTTGTATAACGCTCAATGTCACGAAGTTAATGTCATCATATTCACCCTATGTCGAGTTGTAAAACTAAAGTCAGTAAGAACAAGTTTATGTAAGAAAAGTCATGACTTGACCTTTACAAACTCATTTTCAAAGTATTCGGAGAGTTCTATTCACCTTCTCTTTTCGCCCTTATGCTGCTACTTCTAATCCCAGCCTGACCCATTCCTTGATTGACTGACTGATTCACTGATAAAATGATTGGCAAATTTCCAGCTGCTCATTTGTTTCATTGCTTGTTTAAATGTCAGTTAAATTA